TTCTATAGTGAAGAGTATAAAGAGTTTTATAGTCAAGACGATAGATTGTTCTATAGTCAAGACTATATAGTGTTCTATAGTCGAGAATATAAAGTGTTCTACAGTCAAGACTATGAAGTGATCTATAGTTAAGACTATAGATTGTTCAATAGTCAAGACTACAGAGTGTTCTATAGTCAAGAATATAGAGTGTTCTATAGTCAAGACTATAGAGTGTTCTATAGTCAAGACTATATAGTGTTGTATAGTCAAGACTATAGAGTGTTCTATAGTCAAGACTATAGAGTGTTCTACAGTCAAGGCTACAGATTAATATATGGTCGCAACTAAAGAGTGTCCTATAGTCAAGACTATAGTTATAAGAATCCATTTATGGTCAAGACTATAAAATGATCTATAGTTAGGACCATAAATAATCTATTGTTACTAGACTAATCTATAGTCAGCCTATAGATAGATTAATCTATAATCAGTAATATAGGCTGAGCTATATTCGCTAGACAGATCTGTAGTTAAGACTACAGAATGATCTCTAGTTAAGAATATATACTGATCTGTAGTAAAGACTATAGGTTGATCTATGGTCAAGGCTACAGATTGATCTGGAATTACAACTATTGACTGATCTACTGATCAATAGTCAACACTTTAGACTTATCTACTGACTAATTGTACTCGTCTCCGATCAACTAATACCGTAAGTAATTAAAAATTATTAAACAAGTAAATGTCTCCAATCATTTAGTACCTTATTTAATGATGATTAATATTGTGAGAATTATGAGAATTTTAAAGCAAAAATTCTCATAATTCTACAACATTAATCATAATAATTGCCATCTAGTGGTTTAATTTAAAAATTTGTAGAGAGCCCTAAAATTTCGTTTTCTAAACACTTATTTATATAGGTTTTAAATTACATTTTCCATTAAAATATTATAATGTTCATGTTTTTTTTATTTTTCATTTGCTACCAAAAAGAAATGCAAATAACAGAAATAAAATACTTACAAAGTGCTGTGTATTTTTTTTTCAACAAGTAATAAATTTAAAACAGTTACCAAATCCCATTTAAAAGGATTTGGGTCGTTTTATACTGGAGAGTGTTTTTTTCTCAAGCTTTAAATGGTTGGTGGTTGTATGGTTGGTATGTTGTTTAGGGAACAAAAATTTATGTAAATTTTTGAGAAACGACAAAGTAAAAAATAAACGTATGAATAGTTATAATTATGGTTGTTAGAAAGAAAAAAAAAAAAAGAAAACACTAATAAATTTTATTAAAAGAATTTACAAAATAATTTTGTGTTAGAAATAAGTCCTTTTGTAAAATTGTTTTTTAAGTATTTAGGGATTTTAGCATAAATTTTTTAATTTTATATACATATGTATGAGAGCGTAAGGACTAATATGAGTGAATTGAAAAAATTTTGCTTTCAAATTAAAGAAAATTTTAAATTTTTCTTTTTTTTTTTTTTGAATTTCTTTTTTAATTCAATATATCGGCCCACCTGACGTATGATTAATATTAATTATGGTTAATTTTGCTAAAATTTTAATAACTTCTTTAAACCTTAAGGGATTTTTTTGAAATAAATTTTATTAAATAGTAAACACTTAAGGCTTCAATTCTGAGTTTTATATTGATTTGTCATTGAAGTAAAATTTTGCATAAACTTACATGAAAAGTAAAATTTTGTGGCATAGTTTTAAAAATTAAATTTTTAATCAAATGTATTGATAAGACAAATGCAAAGAAAAATGTCAGTTGAAGGTTTGGAAGTCTAAAGTTTTTAAGAAAAACCTTTAATCAGTTGTTAAGCTAATATTTCACTTTCCTTTTCCTTATTTTTCATTAAATACAAATAAAATTACATTTCAATGGTATCAAACATAAATCTAATTTAAAACTTTTGGACCAAATGACACATGTTGAAAACTAAAGCCACATACTTACATATAAACATTTCAAAATATCACCCTGTCTTATACATTCTCTCTCTGTGCTCTCTCTTCTTTCACTCATTTGATACAACATTTCTATTAAGATTTAAATCTCTTCAATGTTATTTTTCATTTATATTCATTTGCTAAATCAAGGACATTAAAAACCTATAAATTTTATTTTAGTTTTTTATTAAAATATAAAATCTTTTGTTCCCTAAAAAAAAAGAACGAACGAAAAAAAAAAACAGAAATAACTCTCTAATGACTTGAACCTTAAACCCAAACGTTATACCGCACCCTAACCGAGCAGCACTTCATTACCGTCAACGTTGAGCAATAAAATAAAAGACTTGATGAGCAAGTAGAAAAAGAGAAACAGCAAGAAAATCCCAGAATAAAACCACTATAAAGGGAAGCAACAACAACAACAAGAAATAAAATCTGTAAAAAAAGAAACATCAATAATCTTATGGAATGTGTTTAACACCGAGTTAATGAAAGTGTAAAGAAATTTGTGGTTTTTATACTGAACAAAAGAGGAGAAGAGAATGGGGGGGGGGGGGGGGGCGAAAAATACACAGCTTACAATACAAAAACACAGATGAGTACAAAATCCCAAAGCATGTCATGAACCCTGAATATAAAATAAAAAGAATGAAACTGAATAATAAATTATTGTTTTCAGATTTGACAGTTTATACAGAGATATAGAAAGAGAGAGAGAGATAACGAAAGGAAGTGCAAAAAGAGAAGACAATTTTTTTTTTCGTATAAAAAATTTAAGTCAAATAATGAAGAGTTTCTAGTTCCTAGTGTCATAGTTTGCCTTTAAGTATGTGTGTGCACTTAAATTGAAACAAAAAATCTAATAACATAGCATAGTTTAAGGAGGGCAAAGTGGCTCTGTTACAGGGAAGTATTAAAAGTTTAATGAACATCTTGTCAGAGACATTTTCTTTTTTGGAAAATTTAAAATGTTTAAGCAACACAAAGTTTTCAAATGCTTACATTGCTTTCATTTTAATTTTTGTAAAAAAAAGTACTTCAGATAATCTAATTTGTAAAATGAAAAGAATCTTAATTTATTTATTTATTTATTTTTTTTTTCTATTTTTTGTGGGGAGGAAGTTTGTATGCAAACAGTTGCAAGTGAAGCAAATTAGCAGGCGTTGATATAAAGGAAATTAAAAATATCCTTTAAGGAAAAATTATTAACAAGTCCGGCGCAAAGGAAATGAGTTTGTATAAAAATGTTGAAAGAATTACACAAAATTTTGCTTTTTTTAGGAAAGGAATGTTCTGCATACATTTTGGGGGGATGGTTTTTCTCTTTTTGGTTTGTTTGCATGAGGAAATAAATAAAATGTTTAATTTAAAAGAGGGTTGTGTTATATTTATTTAATTTAGAGAAAAATATTTCTGTATTAAGAAAAAAAAACTTGCTAAAAGAGGAAAGCAAAATATTTGTTTAACAAAAATTAATTGCTTTTTTGTTGAAAGAAATTTTAAAATAAATTTATTTTAAAAGATTTATTATTTTATAAAGACTGACGTTTTTAAATAAAGCCCGGAAGTACTAGTAGACTAGACTATAGACCAGACTATAGACTAGACGACTATAGACTAGACTATAGACTAGACTATAGACCAGACTATAGACCAGACTATAGACCAAACCATAGACCAGACTATAGACCAGACTATAGACCAGACCATAGACCAGACTATAGACCAGACTATAGACCAGACTATAGACTTGGCTATAGACTAGACTAGACTATAAACTAGACTAAAAACTAAACTATAAAATACACTATAGACTGGACTATAGACTAGACTATAGACTAGACGATAGATTAGACTATAGACTAGACTAGACGACTATAGACTAGACGACTATAAACTAGACGACTATAGACTAGACGACTATAGACTAGACTACTATAGACTAGACGACTATAGACTAGACGACTATAGACTAGAAGACTATAGACTAGACGACTATAGACTAGACGACTATAGACTAGACGACTATAGACTATACGACTATAGACTAGACGACTATAGACTATACGACTATAGACTAGACGACTATAGACTAGACGACTATAGACTAGACGACTATAGACTAGACGACTATAGACTAGACGACTATAGAGACTAGACGACTATAGAGACTAGACGACTATAGAGACTAGACGACTATAGAGACTAGACGACTATAGAGACTAGACGACTATAGAGACTAGACGACTATAGAGACTAGACGACTATAGACTAGACTAGACGACTATAGACTAGACGACTATAGACTAGACGACTATAGACTAGACGACTATAGACTAGACGACTATAGACTAGACGACTATAGACTAGACTATAGACTATAGTCTAGACTATAGACTATAGTCTAGACTATAGACTACACTATAGACTAGACTATAGACTAGACTATAGACTAGACTATAGACTAGACTATAGACTAGACTATTGACTAGACTATTGACTAGACTATAGACTAGACTATAGACTAGACTATAGACTAGACTATATACTAGACTATAGACTAGACTATAGACTAAAATATAGACTAGACTATATACTAGACTATAGACTAGACTATAGACTAGACTATAGACTATAGACTAGACTATAGGCTAGATTATAGACTAGACTATAGACTAGACTACAGACTAGAATATAGACTAGACTACAGACTAGAATATAGACTACACTATAGACTACACTATAGACTAAACTATTGACTACACTATAGACTAGACTAGACTATAGACTAGACTATAGACTAAACTATAGACTAGACTACACAATAGACTAAACTATTGACTGCACTATAGACTAGCCTATAGACTAGACTATAGACTAGACTATAGACTAGACTATAGACTAGACTATAGACTAGACTATAGACTAGACTATAGACTAGACTATAGACTAGACTATAGACTAGACTACAGACTAGACTAAAAAATCTAACCATTTTCTTCTCTCGTATAAAGTTTTAATTAACCTATTGTCCTTATTTATATTTTCAGGTATGTACAAATTGAAGTGATCAAAAACTATTGCTAAAAAAATACTAGTAAGTAACTTTACTATAAATTTAAAAACCATTTCCGTTTATCAACCACTTCCATTATACAACAAACATTATAGTTTTGTATAAAACCTATAAAAAAAAAACCTATTGCCTACTTAAAGGCTATTCATACAAGCAATAAAGATTTACCGATTAAAAAGTTATTTCTGTCCAATTATCTAACAAATTGTTAAAATTTTTGCACTTTATTCAATTTGAAACACTTCAGTTATCTTAAAATATAAATCTAGAAAATATCTCTGACACACATAAGTACTAAAACAACAAATAAAACAAACACTCAAAGTAAAAGTAAATCCAGTACAAAAACAAATTAAAAATACATTAAAACAGTATAAAATTTTATAAAAAAAATACAAATTCTTATCAAACAAATATTGACTGACTACATGTAATAAAAACAACCCCAAAACCAAAGTCAACGAGTACAATACCTCAACACTAGTTTAAACATTATATTTCATATATTTATACATACACACATACATATGTATGTATAATACAAAAAAATATATATAAAACATCAATTGTACACACCAATACTAATAAAGAAACACAATGAAGTATAAAAATATCCCAGTAGTGAACTGCCATTGTCTGTCACGTCATGTCGTGTGTCAGTATACTACAAAAACAAGTTGACAACTTTAACAAACAAAGGACAACAGCAGCAACAACAACTACAACTGTGAAAAAACATTGTCGACATCATCGTCAGCCATCATGTTGTTGAAAGTAGAAAATAAAACACAAACGTGACAATTTAAAGATGAAAAATAAATGATAGTCAGTGGGAGCGAGATAGAGCTCAGAGTTAACTCGCTGAATAATGAAGAATAAATAGAATAACTACTAGAGCAGCATCAACAGCAAACAAACAAACAAATAAAACTCTTTGCTGAACATTGAAATTGTATTGAAATATTAAATTGTTTTAAAAAGCGTAATCTACGATGTTGTATTTGTTGATGTTGTAGCAAACATTTTTTAACAATTTTAAACTTTTTTCTTGAAGTTGAAAATATAGCAAACAGTTGCAATGGTTTTAAAATAGATTACATGTTTTCAGGGGCAATTTTCTAAAAATACCACATGACGCGGTTAGAATAGTGACAGTCAGTCAGAAGAGGTGTTAATTTGGATGCCTATAAGGCATACAAAGGTCATAAGCAATGCATTCAACTAAAGGGTGATGTAATCAAAAGAAGACGGCAGACAGAGTATAGACTAGACTATAGTCTACACTGGAGCATAGTACAGTCAACACAATGACCAGATTATAAAGTAGACTGTGGCTTAGACTGTGGTCTAGACTATAGTCAAGAATATAGACTAGACTGTGGTCTAGACTATAGTCAAGACTATAGACTAGACTGTGGTCTAGACTATGATAGACTATAGACTAGACTGTGGTTTAGACTATGATAGACTAGACTGTGGTCTAGACTATAGTCAAGCTATAGACTAGACTGTGTTTTAGACTATAGTCAAGTTTATAGACTAGACTGTAGTCTAGACTATAGTCAAGAGTATAGACTAGACTGTGGTCTAGACTATAGTCAAGACTATAGACTACACTGTGGTTTAGACTATAGTCAAGACTATAGACTAGACTGTGGTCTAGACTATAGACTAGACTGTGTTCTAGACTATAGTCAAGACTATAGACTAGACTGTGGTCTAGACTATAGTCAAGACTTTAGACTAGACTGTGGTCTAGACTATAGTCAAGACTATAGACTAGACTGTGGTCTAGACTATAGTCAAGACTATAGACTATACTGTGGTCTAGACTATAGACTAGACTGTGGTCTAGACTATAGTCAAGACTATAGACTAGACTGTGGTCTAGACTATAGTCAAGACTATAGACTAGACTGTGGTCTAGACTATAGTCAAGACTATAGACTAGACTGTGGTCTAGACTATAGTCAAGACTATAGACTAGACTGTGGTCTAGACTATAGTCAAGACTATAGACTAGACTGTGGTCTAGACTATAGTCAAGACTATAGACTAGACTGTGGTCTAGACTATAGTCAAGACTATAGACTAGACTATAGTCAAGACTATAGACTAGACTGTGGTCTAGACTATAGTCAAGACTATAGACTAGACTGTGGTCTAGACTATAGTCAAGACTATAGACTAGACTGTGGTCTAGACTATAGTCAAGACTATAGACTAGACTGTGGTCTAGATTATAGTCAAGACTATAGACTAGACTGTGGTCTAGATTATAGTCAAGACTATAGACTAGACTAGTCTGTGGCTAGACTAGTCTGTGTATAAATTAGACCGAACCTAGTCTGTAAACTAGATTATAATCTAGTCGATCATTTAGACTGTCACTTATAAACTAATTTTTTATTCCGTACAGTGTTATAAATAGAGTCATCTAAATACATATCTTTTATTACCTAAAGCATACTTTTCGGCAAAATTCTGTAATTACAACATATCAAAGCATACCTTTAAGGTATAAAAAAAGTTTGTTTAACTAAAAGTTTTACTAACACACACCCAGCAGCAGCAACAATTAAACAATTTTCTAAAGCATATTTTTTACAATGAAAACCATACAGTTCTGGTCTACGTCGACTTTTTTGCTTTCTTTTTTTTACAAATATTTGTAACAAAATGTTTAACTTTTTATAGAAAAGAAAATTTTATGCTAAACGGATGTTTATTATGGAGATTTTCCATTAAACATGATTTAAGTTAAAGAAGGAATTGTGAAGAAAAAAAAAAACATAAATATTTACTTGAAAAGGAAAATGTTAAAAAAAAATTATAATTTCCTGAAAAAGTCGAAAAATATTTTAACAAAACTTCAAATGCTTTGCCTTGGGATTAGAGATTTTTAAGAATTTATTTTATTTAAATTAGTGGGGACTGAAAATTAAAGTTTTACTTGTATAATAACATTTGCTACTGCCTAATTTTAGGCTTTGAGCTAATTTTAAAAAAATAACTTATTTTACCAATATCTTTCATTACAGTTTGTGTGGTCGTAAGTTTTTTAAAACATTTTTTTTATTTTCATTTATTTCCGCTAAAATAGCCAGTTCTATTTCTCTTGAGATATTATTTAAACTTTATTTTATGAAATTACTGCAGTGCAGCAGCGTTTTTTAACCTCTATAATTTAAAGTGTTGCTTTTCCTTTTTTATATGCTTAACTAACTTTTCCCACTAAACCCCTATTCCCTAGTGACTCTAGTTAAATAATATTTTTTATTTGTTATTTTTTTTTTGTGGGTTCCTCTTTTTTTTCTTTTGAATATAGAATTTTTTCTATTTACTTTCATATGAATGAGTTTGTTTATGTTAGTATATGTGTGTGTGTGTATTTAAGAGCTGGGCATGTGTCCTTTTTTTACACATGTATATGTTATGTGTTTTGATGAGTGTCAGAGCCAACACTTCTTACTAATTAAGTGACCATTTATGTCGTTTGCAAATCATTAGTAACAATTTAAAGAGCAAAGTTTTTTTTCGTATTTTTTATGGAAATGGGTTTTGCTACTGCTGTATGTGTTTTTGTTAGTAGGATGTGGTGTGCGTCCACTCGCCACAGATCTCAAAACTATGCTGGAAATGCACACAATGGATTCTTTTTTTAATTTTTCGTTTTGTTATAAATCACAATCATGAGTTTTAGTGTGATGCATGGATATGAAAGTGATTTTTATTATTCTAGATAAAGCTAATGAGTGTGTGTAGAGCATTTGGTTTAAATTGAATCAATGGTCGACATAAAGAGAAATGGACTATTTTTATTAAAAAATTTTTAGCACTGAATTTTCTGTAGGAAATCTTATGTATAACAATATTTTCTATGGAAATAATTCTGTATAATAATTTTTCTATAGAGAATTATCTGTTTATCAGTTTTTCTAATGAAAGTCTGGAGTATAATGTTTCTGTATAAAAAATATTTCTACAGAAAATCATCTGTATATCGATTTTTTCAAGAAAATCTGGAGTATAACAGGTTTTTTTATACAAAAATAATAGTTTTTATGATGTGGCCTCTGGAAGTTTAGTGGTTAGTGTTCTATTCTGGTAGACCGGAGGTGGTGGGTTCGAGGCACTGTTTAAGGAGCGCACAACAGGCACGATAGAGGCCTTCAGTATAAACGTCTTTCTATAAAAAATCTTCTTTATAAAAGTTTATCTAAAGAAAAGGATCTTTAGTACATATAACATTTTTTTATATGAAAATCTTTAGTACTTAATTTTTTTAAGAAAATCTTCTGGTTGTTAAAATCATTACAGGTTTTTTGAGAAAATCATGTGAAAAACAGTGCATATAACAGTATTTCCAATAAAAATGTTCTGTATAACAGTTTGTTTTAAGAAAGTCAAAGTATAACAGTCTGTTTTTATAAAAAATAAACTTGTTTATAAGAGTTTTTATGAATGAATATTGTGTATAACAGGTCATGTAGTAGGAAGCCGTTAGTATAACAGTTTCGTTACATAAAATCTCATCTATAATAGTTTTTCTTTTATATAACAGTATACTCGTATAAAAGTTTTTCTTTGGAAATCTTCATTTATTAATTTTTTTTATAGAAAATCTTATGTATAACAGTTTTTCTAAAGAAAACCGAAAGTACAACAGTTTTTTTTTATAAAACAAAACTTGTGTATAACAGTTCTTACTGTAATAGCCTTCATTATAACGGTTTCTTTATACAAAATCTTGTGTTGAAGAGTATAACAGTTTCATATGGAATACTTCAGTATGTGGTAAAAACCTTGTTTATAACACTTCTTGTTGTAAACAGTATTATGTATAACAGATTCTCTGAAGAAAATCCTGTATCCTTTTTAGTAAAAAATCCTTTTTTAGTGAAAAAGTCTTTTGTATGACAGTTTCGTTACATAAAATCTCGTCTATAACTGTTTTTCTAGAAAACATATTGTATATAAGAGTTTTTCTTTGAAAATCTTCATTTATAAAAGTTTTTTAATAGAAAACCTGAAGTATAACAGTTTGTTTTTATAAATAAAAAACTTGTGTATAACAGTTCTTTCTGTAAAAGCCTTTCTTGTATTGAAGAGTTTTTTTTATAAAAAAAATTAGTATAACAGTTTCCTATGATAATCTTCTGTACTAAGTATGTTCTCTGAAAAAAATCCTGTGAATTACATTTTTTCTATAGAAAATCCTTGTGTATAATAGTTTTTTCAGTAAAAAGTATAACAGTTTCGTTAAATGAAATCTCGTCTATAACAGTTTTTCTAGAGAATATATTGTACATAACAGTTTTTCTTTGAAAATCTTCAAGAAAAGTTTTTCTATAGTAAATCTTATGTATAACAGTTTGTCTAAAGAAAACCTGAAGTACAACAGAAAAAAAAACTTGTGTATAACAGTTCTTATAAAAAATATTGTGTATAACAGTTTTTCTGTAAAAGCCTTCAAGAGTTTCTTGATACGAAATCTTGTATTTAAGAGTTTTTTCTTATACAAAAAACTTAAGTATAAGAGTTTCCTATGAAAAACTTCAGCACTAAAATTTTTCCATAGAAAACCTTGTTTATAACACTAATTGTAAATAGTATTAAGTATAACAAGAGCAAATCCTATGAATTAAAATTTTTCTACAGAAAATCCTTGTGTATAACAGTTTCCTTAGTAAAAATCTTTTGTATAACAATTTCGTTACGTAAAATCTCGTCTATAGCAGTTTTTCTAGAGAATATCTTGTATATAACAGTTTTTCTTTGGAAATCTTCAATTATAAAAGTTTTTCTATAGAAAATCTTATGTATAACAGTTTCTCTAAAGAAAACCTAAAGTATAACAGTTCGTTTTTATAAACCCTCTTTCTGTGACAGTTTCTTTATATAAAATCTTGTATTCAAGAGTTTTTTCTTATAAAAATTACTACTCTTTCTTCAGATAATCTTCAGTAAAAAGCTTTTTCTATAGAAAATCTTATTGATAGCTGTATTTTCTTATGTATAACAGTTTTTATTATAAATAGTATTGTGCATAATTGTTTCTCTATACAAAATCTGCTACATAACTTATTTTCCTCTAAATAATCTTAAGTTTATTAGTTTTTGTATAAAAATTCTTGAGTATAACAGTTTTTCCTGTAAATTGTCTTATATACATATAACAGTTTATAAATAAAAAATCTTGTAGATAACAGTTCACATTATTAAAAATCTTGAGTTTTACAGTTTTTCTATAGAAGTATAAGAGTTTGTCTTGTGTTTATTTGTTTTTCTTGCAAAAAATTATTTCTCTTCTCTTAGAAAATCTTGTGTGTAGCAGTTTTTATAGAAATTATTGTGTTTTTTTGTAAAAAATCATTTGTATAACAGTTTCAACCAGAGAATCTAGTATATAACAGTATCCTCAAAAA